GTTGCCCTAGAGTTTACAATTGACTTCTATTTATTGTTTTTATTTTATGTGTATGAGTGTATTGCCTGCATGCATGTGGGTGCACCTGTGTCGTGCAATGCCTGCAGAGGCTAGAAGACGGTGTCAAATCCCCCGGAACTGGAGTTATGGACAGTTCTTAGTCGCCATGTAGGTGCTCGGAATTGAACCTGAGTCCTCTGTAAGAACAGTCAGTGTTCTTAACCGCTGAGCCATCTCTCCAGCCCGCTCTTACTTTCTTTTGGTTAACTGGGCTAGCAGTCTGTCAATCTTGTTTATCTTCTCAAAGAATCAGCTCTTGGATTCATTGATTCTTTGTAGTTTTCTTTGTTTCTATTTCCATAATTTTTGCTCTGATTTTTGTTACTTCTTCTTGTCTGCTGGGTTTCAGTTTCATTTATTCTTGCTTTTCAAGTGTCTTGAGCTGCAATGTTAAGTCAGTTATTTCTGTTTTTTTCTGATTTTTTAATGTAGGCACTTAGTGCTATAAACTTTCTTCCAAGGACTGCTTTCAGCGTGTCCCAGAGGTTTTGTTGTGTTGTATTGTCCTTTTCATTTAGTTCCAGGAATACTTTTATTTCTTTCTTAATTTCTCCTTTAACCCATTCATCATTCAGGAGTTTGTTGTTTAATCCCCATGTGTTCATGTAGTTTCTAGGGCTTTGTCCAGTGTTGATTTTAAGTGTTCTTGCATTGTGACCTGATAGAATGCATAGAATTATTTCAATCTTTTTTTATTTGCTGAGGCTTTGTTTTGTGTCCCAGTATGTGGTTGATTTTGGAGAAGGTTCCACGGGGCACTGAGTACAAAGTATATTTTTTGGTGCTTCAGTGGAAATATTCAGTAGATGTCTTGTGGGTCCATTCGATGTATGGTATTGTTTGATTCAGATGTCTCTCTTGATTCTCTGTCCTTTTGACCCCTACAATGGGGTATTGAAGTCCCCTACTATTAATGAGTTGGGATTAATCTGGGTCTTAATGTCCTGCAGTACTATTTTTATGAAGTTGGGTGCACCAGAGTTTGGTGAACATATGTTCATGATTGTAATATCTTCTTGGTCAATTGTTCCTTTGATCAGAATGAAGTTGCCCTCTTTATCTCTTCTGATTAGTTTTAGTTTGAAGTCTATTTTGTCAGATATTAGAATTGCGACTCCTGCTTTTTTTCCTAGTACTATTTGATTGGAATACTTTTTTCCATCCTTTCACTTTAAGGTAGTTAGTGCTTGTCCTTGAAAGTGAGATGGGTTTCTTACAGACAACAGAAAGCTGGGTTTTGTTTCTTAGTCCACTCAACTTGTCTGTGTCTTTTGACTGGGGAGTTCAGTCCATTGATATTTAAAGTTATTAACAAAAGATGTATATTGACTCCTGTTGTTTTAATTTCTGTTCACATTTGTAGTGTAGCTGTGCATTTCCAGTTATATCTTCATGACGTTTCTTTCTGTTACCCTTGGGTATATTTCTTCCACTCTTCATATTACTTCAAGAACTCTCTGAAGAGCTGGTTTTGTGGACATAAATTTGTTCTATTTATGTCATAGATTTTTCTTTCCCCTTTGACTATATTAGATGTTTTGGCTGGGTAAATTAGTTGGGATTGGCATCTGTGGTCATTTAGAACAGGGAATATTTTGTTCTAGGCTCTTCTGGCTTTCATCGTTTGCACTGAAATGTCTGCTGCAATTCTAATGGGTTTTCCTTTCTATGTGACTTGTTTTTCTTTTGTAGATTTCAGTATTCTCTCTTTGTTCTGTACATTTAGTGTTTTTACTATGATGTGCCATGAAGAGTTTCTTTTCTGGTCCTGTCTATTTGGTTTTCTATATGCTTCTTGTATTTGTATAAGCATGTCTTTCTTTAATTTAAGGAATTTTTCTTCTACAATCCTGTTGAAGATCTGGTCCATACTGTTATCCTAAGATTCTTCTCCTTCCTATATGCCTATGATGCATAAGTTTCGTCTTTTTATGGTGTCACACAATTCCTGCATATTCCATTCTTGTGTTTCTTAAATTTTTCTTAATCTTTGCTTGACTGGTCTTGTTTCATCCACTTTGTCTTCCAGTCTTGATGTTCTGTTTTCCGTTTCATTCATCCTATTAGTGAGGCTTTCTCCTGTCATTTCTAATTAGCGTATTGAATGTTTCATTTCCTTCTTCATTTCAGCCTGAGTATTCTTCAATATTTCTCTTTTTGAATTCATTCAGAAGTTTGTCCTTATCTTCTTTCAGTTCTTTGATTTCTTTCTTTGAGTGTTCTTTAAATTCACTGAATTCTTTTATCATGTTTATAATTGTTCTTTTGAATTCCATGTCTTATGTTATCTCTAAGGGGGTTCTCATTATACTCCTCTACAGGACTGTTGGTACTTGGTGGGGATGTATTATTTGGGTTTTTCACGTTATTATTTTTTCACTGTGACTTTGACATGTGGATTTCTTTTGTAGTTTCTGAATCTTGTGTGAGACTCAAGCCTTCCTCTGTTGAGTTTAGGCCTGCTTCTTTTTGTAAACTTTATGTGCTTTTGTGGTTTTACTTGTTGGACATGAAGAACTGGTTGGTCTAGGCTTCAGATTCTCTCCTTTGATTTTATATTAGAAAAGCCAGATGGCTTTCATCCGCTGTTCAAGAGTTCCCACAGAGGCCCAAGTCGGATGAGGATTAGATGTTCTCAGGCTTTCTCCTAAAGTCTGGATCACTTCAGGAAAGATGCTGGCCTCAGGAAGTTGGAGGCTGGGCTAGTCTGGGACCAGGGCATGTCTAAGGAATGCAAAGGCTATGGGGGTGGGGGTGGGGGGGGGGGGGGGGGAGGACATGGATAGATGGACAGGCCCCTAGGGCTCCCAGGGAATAGACCTAGGAATTGGGTTGGTCTGAATGCAAAGGGTCAAGAAACAGTGGAGAATCTGGGCCAAGAGGGCAGTCCAGAGGTTTAGGATGCCAAGAGAAGAAATGGGCCAGTGCCCATGCTAGGAGGAGAGACAGGGTGGAGGAGCTGGGAGCATGAACAAGGCTAGGGAGTCAAGGCACAGTGGGCATGCAGACAAACTTACCCAAGAAAGAAGTTGGCCCCAGGAAGCTGGTGCCTGTGTCTTACTCTTTTATATTAGGCAAATGGCTGCCATATTGCAAGCCTCCATTTCCTCTTATAGAAAATGGAGACATTAATAGAACCTACATCATAGAGGTGGGTGCATAGTAAAATGCCTAAAATATATACCGGTGTTCACCTTGGTCCATTACTAGCTTGAAGCAAATGTTAATGGTAATTATACATATGTAACCCTCACCCTAACAGTAGCCCAGGAGGATGTTGAGAGACTGCCTGCCCTATGGGGGGGTATGGTGAGGAGCGCTCCTTGTCCCAAGGTGCATACCTGTGCCCTTTAGAACTAGCTGATGGAGGCTTGTTTGCTTTGTTTCAAAGCTATGAGCTAATCATGATGAAGCAATCTTTGATATCTCTATTTTATATTTACTAGAGCTGTTTTGAAATCTGGTGGTTTTAAACTTTGGGGGCCCCTGACCCAGATTCAAATGATAAAAATGACTCAGCTCAAGTTCTAATACTAGTGCCTGGGAAGAATTTAAAGTTTCTAGAAATGATATGTTAATATTCTGACTCCTGGTGAGTCCCTTTAAAATTAGAGCTACAGTCCCTGCACTAAGCTCTGCTACTGCATCACAAGGTGACTGCTGGCTTATGGAGGCACTTATCATTGCCAAGGGAATGCCCTGTCTAACTCTGGAGGTTATTCTCAGGAATACCATCAGAAGAGAGCTGCAAGGTGGGTACTGAGGCTCGTGAGAGGAATGGGACAGTTGCTTAATAAGTAGGGGCAGGGAATGGATGTTGCTTCTGGGGCTCCTGGAAGCAGGTCTTGGTCACTAGATGTTAAGCTGCTTAGAAGAACATTTGGAATACATGAAGAAAGAAGGCTTTAAGTCTGAAAATAGAGCATTGTAGAATTAGATCCAATTAGTTGAATTTTCCATATTTACAATTGTGCCCCATTGTCTGGAAGCAAATTTTAACCATGCTGTTGCAAGACTTGTTCACGGACAAGAATGTGAATAAGATCTCTTCCTTTTGTGTCTTGTAGCTGAGGCCTAACCATTTACAAAAAAGCTTTCCTTCTTTTATTTGATTTTACTCCTTAACATGTGGGTCATTGACTGGCCAACATATAGTTATTGGGTTCCTAGTATATGGTGAAAGGCTTCAAGTATGCAACAGGAAGCAAGTTTTGTTTCAAGCATCATATAGTCTTACGACGATAATTAAAAAAACAAGCAGATATTTTATAGGACTTGGTAAGGATTGTAGGTAGAAATACAGAACATAGAGGAGCAACAGCTAGCTCTGTCTCGAGGAAGAGGAGGAAGGCTTCCTGGAAGGAAAAAAATGGGGGTTTAAGATGGCCTGTTGGAACTGGACAGATATACATAACCCTGGGAGGATGGGCATTGGCATGAGCAAGAGGCTGGAAATCTGTAAAAACAAGGCATGCTCTGGGAGCTGCAAACACTTTTGTTTTTATGGAGACAAAAGTAGGGAGAATGGAGAAAGGAATTGTAAATGGCAACAATGGCCACATTATTTGCTCTCTCATCAACAGACCAAGTCTCCTCATCCTTTGAGTCAGATGGGACTTGGTTTAACCAATGAAAATTAAACAAATAAAGTATAATCTTGAGAAATGCCCACGCATGAGGAGCTTTTAATGCTGTTAGACCTAGAAATTAATATTGATATGAATCCCAGTCCAGGGCAGTCTTCTAGATGATAAGAGACACTTGCCCCAGTTTCCTGGTCACCTCGATATGCAAGCAGCTAGACCCACAAGTAGAGTGCCCTGGATGACCATTGGGCCCTGGACACAGGAGTAAGCCCAGTTGAGCACACCAGAAAAACTCTTCTTCTGAGCCCAACCCAATATGCTGACCCTTGAAATCAGGAACTAAATAAAGAGTTCTGGTTTTGTTGTTATAATCCACTGTATATGTGCATGTGTACTTTGATTTGTTCTTGCAGTAAAAACTAGTTAATATGGCATTCATGAGGGTTTATAATTCATGTTAAGGAATTTTGACTTTAATCTGAGGGTGGCATGGATACTTCAAAGGTTTGAAGTCATAGAAGTGGCATTATCAGGTTCATCTTTCAAAACAAGCACTGTGGGATCCAGCCAATAACATCATGGATGGCTAAATATATTGAATATCATAAATGCAAGTAGAACTGATGAGTAAAGATAGTGTATACATATGGCCTGGAGATGCATGGGATATGGTTTCAAGACAACCCAGAGAAAAACATCTAGTATTGATATGTTTTCACAAATGGTATGTCTAGCTGTCTGTTTATCAACAACGCCCTGTCCAAAACAAAACACTTTGTTTCTTTCCCATCCTGGGTCAAGAAGAACTGGCAACGTAGACTGAGTGGAAACAAGGGTCAGAATGTTCCAAGACCATGGGTGCTTTATGTCCTCAGTGTAAACCTGGAATCAAAGTTTTTCAAGCTGATTTGGCATCTCCATCAAAGGTTTGAGTCATGAGACCTGAGGAAAACCTTTTAAGAGAATATCATTAGGAGATAATCATAGAAATACACAAAGATCAACATCTTCTTTATAGCATTATTTATAATATAAGAGGTCACAATATCAATGTCCAAAAACAGGAAGTGAAGATATAAAACACCAGGCCACAGTATGATTTGAATCTATGGGGTTCAAACATTTGTTGAAAGGTTTCAAAGATCATGGCACAGAGGAAAAGCTCATAACATGACAAAATATATGAACAGTAGCCAATAGAAGGGATTCCCTTTTTGTTTTAACAAAATCCATTTTTTTCTTTTAACCCTTAATGGTATAGCTCCTGATTTTTGGCTGGATACATGGATACCAACAGGGGACCTCATTTTTCATCCTTTCTGGATGCTGAAATATGACCATATTACTGAATTCTGGGTGTGTAATAAGACCCCAAAATCAGATTCTGGGTCTATTCCCTTCTCTGTTTATTTGTGGAAATAGTAGGTTCTTTGTGCCCATTCTTTTTCCTAAAAATTGAGGTGCAAATGTATTAATGGTAGCCGGAAGATAGACTATGAACACAGAGTTTATGGAATAAGTGTCCTGTGGGTTCATGAAGCCCTTGCTTTACCAAAGTACAAGTGACTAGGGGGCTGCTGTGTGTTAGAGGGATGCTCATTTGAAGCTCCCTACCCAGGTGCTCAGGAGGGCAGCATGGAATGTTCATGTGCTTACTCCACAAAGTCATCAAATTCAAGCCTTCATACTGTTATCCTTGCACTTTATCTCTTAGATTAGCTGCAGCCTCCTGAGGATTGCACATAGTAGGAGGAGCTGAAGAAAGGACAATCACAGGAGTATAAGTGAGTGTTTATAAAGCACGACAACTCTGACTGGTGGTTTGGGGGTCCTTTTTTTTCTTTTTCTTCCTATTTATGCTGCTTCTGTTGACCCTGTGTTCTGTTCTTCACTGACACATTGATGAGAGCTCTCCAGAAGAACAGACTACATACATACATACATGCAGGCAGACAAATGTACATGTATACACACATATATGTGTATGCATATATATATGCATGAACATATGTATATATTGGGAATTGGTTCATATGATTATAGAGGGTAAGAAATCCTGCCATCTGTCTGGAAGGTAGAGAACCAGGAAAGCTGATGGTGCCATTCAATCTGAATCTGAAAGCCTGAGACTGAGATCAGTGTCCAAGGTAGGAGACTATGCATCCTAGTTCAAGGAAAAGGTGGGGGTGGGGGAATGTGTCTTCATTCTGTCCTTTCTGTTCTACTCTGAATCACAAGGGGTTGGATATTGTTGACCCACATCGGTGAGGTTCCCAGAACCCACATGGCAGCTAACAACCATCTGTAACTCCGGTTCTAGGGGATCCGATGCTCTCTTCTCACCTCCACAGGCATTGCACAGCATGGATTTACTTACATCCATACAGGTAATACATTCATACACATAAAAATAATAAATAAAATATTAAAAAATTTTATATGTTGATATCTTAATCCCAGGACCTCACGGAAGTATTTTTGCCAATGTAATCAAGATAAGATGTGATCGTTATGGTGGACACAATTTAGTGTGACTTATAACCTTCTTTGACACATAAACACAGAGATGATGGCTTCATGACAATACAGATAGAAACTAAAGTACTGGAGTTACAAACCAAGGATACCAATGACTTTAGGAAGCTATTGGAAGCTAGAAGGAACTAATGAGTATTTAGAGAGACCATAGCCCTGCCTTCATGTAGGAGTGCTGGATTTCAGGATTATGGCACACATGTTTCAGTTGTTCACCTTTAGATTTCTTTTTTTACTTATGTATATTTGTCATACCTTTAGGAGTTTATGTACAAGTGCTACAGAAGCCAGAGGGTTTCAGGTCCCCAGGAACTGTAGTTATAGGTGGTTGTGAGCTGCTTGATGTATGTGCTGGGAGCCAAACCCACATCCTCTGAAGAGCAGTAAGTGCTTTTAATGCTGACATATCTCTCCAGCCTAGCATTTCAGTTGTTTTAAACCATGCAGTCAGTGGCATTTTGTGACTGAAATTCGAGGAAGCAAATACACTTTCTGTAGGCAGCATATCTGTCTGCCTAGCTTGATAACTTACAGGAGCAACAACCACTTACTGTCATTCACAGTGTCTGTAGCTAAGGAGTCCTGGACCATCGTGACTAGACTGTTCTGGCTTGGGGTTTCTCATGGTGTTGCAACAGAACATTATATCTGACCACTTAACTGTGGCTCTTGCTCCTCATGTGGACACTTGTGGTAATTAGCTGATAAGACATCTTTGATCCTTGACATCTCTAAGTCTTCCCATGAAGCTGTTAAGTATCCTCATAGAGAGAGGTGTCTTCCCCAGGAGGGACATACCTTTATTTATTTATTATCGAATTCACATGATTCGGCCTTAACCTCCTGAGTGCTGGTGGTAGAGGTGGGTATCGCCATGTTTTTTTTCTCACAACCTAATTTAAGTCACATAATACCATAGCATCACCTCTACCACATTCTGTGTGTGTGTGTGTGTGTGTGTGTGTGTGTGTGTGTGTTGCTGGAGATTGGTCCTAGGGCTGAGCACATGTTACACAGGTACCCTGTTCCTCCTGAGCTATATCTCCAACTGAACTACATTCCTTTTGTGGGAAGGTGGAAAGCCAGTGACTAAACCACTAAGACTAGCCCACAATCAAGATGAAAGTAGTTGTACTACATTGTTGGAATTTAACAAGTTAAGAAATTTATAGATATATCTCAAAATCATGAAGGCTCCTAATCCAACTTTAAGTAATATATATTTAGGGATATATATACAATAATATAGCTTTATAGTTTATATGTAATGTATGTGCTCATATGTCTATAATGTACATCTGCACATGTCTAGATCAGTGGTTTGATCTCTAGGATTTACCTCATCCAGTTCTGGCATGTTCTCTACCACTGGTGATGAAGTGGGGCTGGGTAGTAAAACTAAAATCTGGTGACTGCAGAGATCAGTCTCTTGCTTGGAAACAGCCTTCTCAGCTCTTCTGGAGGAAAGGCGCCTCTGACTTAAAGCTCAGCCCCCTTTCAGGCTTCACGTTTTCCCTCTCAGGAGGTGTCTCTGCCCTTTCTCCTGGGAGGACTGAGGTCCACTTGCCCTGGTCAGACCTCTTTTCACAACGTATGTCTACATTTCTCCCAATAGCCCACTTCATGTTAGCTTTCCCCATCCTCTTGCTTCTTTGACTTCTTGACTGAAGTCATCTTTTGTTGTCAACTGATGACTGAGATTCAACGAATATTTTCCTCCTAGAGCCATGATTTTTAAGATAGTTACCCAAGGGTCATCTCTCTAGCAATGGAACAAATAACTGGCAAAATTTGGAAAGGTAATAAATTTGTTGAATGGATAACTAAATAGAACCAAACAATGTTTTTTAATTTACTATTTTCTTACAGTATTATACAGGAAAATTAACTTTTTGGAATATAGTTAAGTGAATTTTAACACAGGTAGAGATCTTTTTAAATAGCTCCACCATCAAATAATTAATTAATTACTTAATTAATTAATGCATTTGAGACAGACTCACATAGACTAGAAGGACCTCAAAATTTTATGTAGCTGAGGATGGTCTTGAACTTCTGTTCTTCCCGCTTCTCTTCTCAAGTTCTGGGATTATAGGTGTGTCCAGCTTGGTTTTGCTGTTGTTGGTCATTTGTTTGAGTTTTCTCCTCTTCCTCCTCCCCCTCCTCCTCCTCCTCCCATCAAATAATTAATTAATTACTTAATTAATTAATGCATTTGAGACAGACTCACATAGACTAGAAGGACCTCAAAATTTTATGTAGCTGAGGATGGTCTTGAACTTCTGTTCTTCCCGCTTCTCTTCTCAAGTTCTGGGATTATAGGTGTGTCCAGCTTGGTTTTGCTGTTGTTGGTCATTTGTTTGAGTTTTCTCCTCTTCCT